TATTTTGTTGTGGACTGTGTATTGACTTAGTTTTAAAATGTAATGTTGTCTTTGTTGTATTGTATTTTTATTTATTTTGTTATATAATTCCTAATTAATCTGGCTCAGGCTTGACACTTCTGTCCTGTAGGATACCCAGTTTGAGATGACTGAATGACAGTTGGTGATGTTGTAGTTGTTAACTACTGCTCAGGAGAGAAATTAAGGCTGAATATGTAAATTTAGATGCCACCTGTGTAGGTATATTAATTGATTATTAGCTGATTGATTATTTTTTTTAAATTTTATATAAATTTATGCTGATTGATTATTGATAATTAGCTGATGAGATTTCCAGGTGAGGTAGTCTAGAGAAAAAAAAGATGGTTTCGGAGAGAACCTTGGGTGACACATATGATTGATAGTGTGTCATCTGTGAAAAATTAGCATAGGAGACCGGGAAGGAGCATTTGGACAGATAGGAACAGGACCAGGAAAGAGCAGTAATAGAAAGAAGAGAGTATAAAAAAAAAAAGGCATTCCTAAAAAGTGAAAAACCACAGGGCTTTTGGGGAAAATAGGGTTAGGGGCACAACACTCAAAAACATCATCAGTAATACATTAAAAAAAAGAGGAACCTAATAAAAGAATGGCATCCAAGTTTTGTATATGTTGAACAGTTAAAAGATACGTAAATACTACAATAAATAGTGGCTTTCCTCAGACTCAGGCTACTGCTTGCCCTGGGGCAGCAGAGCGAGCTGAAGGGCAGCGCCTCTGGCCTAGGGAATTTGGCTGTAGTGGAAGCTGTTTAGGGGAGAGTTTGGGGGCTGACCCCAGTTCCTGCTGCACTAGAAGATCTATGATAAATATGGCACTTTGAAAAAGACCTGACGTTTGCTTGTGGAAGTGGCTTGGAGTTACTGAGAAGTGGTGCGGTTTTCTGCCTTCTTGATGTTTTTTGTGGAAGAAATCATGTTTAAACCAACTTGAAATTTGCATTATGCTCAGTGTTCCTAAATGTCTCAATTGTTAGGAAAAAAATTCTCTTTGAAACAAGTGTTAAAGTAGAACGGTTATCTGGGATGAGAAAATGATCAGCGGCGTCAAATGCAGCGGAGAGGCCGAGAAGCATGTATCACATCTGGCAATGGAGTGATCCCTGGTGATTTTGGAGAGGGCAGTTTCAGTGGAGTGATGAGGTGGGTAGCCAGATTGCGAAAGGGTTTGGAAAGGAAGGGGAGGCACAGAGAGTAGACAACTTTTCTAAAGGCGTTTAGCCATAAAGGAAAAGATAAGTAGAGGACTCTAAATTAGTGAGGTGGTAGGATTAACTGAGGGGTTTTTCAGGATGGAGAAGATATGAGTGAGTTTGTAGGGAGAAGAGAGAGATACAGTAGATAGATAGCCCAACATTGCAGAAAGGGAAAGAATGGATAGGATAGGGTGTGTAACACCGAATCGTTTGACATAGATACTGAGTGAGGACACTAATGTTAATAAGTATATTAAATACGTAGTAGAATTTGGGAGGGGTTGGAAGAACCATTTCCATTGGCAAAAGAGCACCACCTACCTCTTCACACAAGGTCAGAGTAAAGAAGCAGATTGTTAATGCACCACAATATGTTTATCTGTTTCCTAGCTGATTAACACCTACTTTGTTTCCACTTCTTTGTTTCCATAAAAAGTGGTATGAGAGTACTGCTACATATATTCTGATGTATATAGGGCTGGAATTTTGTCAGTGATCTCTTGGAGGAAATACTTAGGAGTGGAATATCTGGGTCACAGTTTATGGACATTTTAGTCATTTCTTTCGCACAATACTCCACGGATTCACCAAACATTCCATTAGATGCCTGTTTTTACATAATCCATTGCACCTAGACTTCCCATCTGTTGTCTTCTTTGCCAATTTTCTAAATGAAATATTAGGATTTTAAAAATTAATTTATCGTATTAATAATTTGGAGTATTCCTTCATATGATTGCTTACATTTTGCAGTTATTTTTGAGAAAAGCTTGTTTGTGTACTTAAATAATTTATCCACTGGGAACTGGCTTTTGGTTTTACATGTTTCTATTAGTTGTCTACATATCTTGGATATCAGTCCCTTATTAGAGGTATTTGATACAAAGATTTGATACAAAGATTCTCTCCGCCGCTCCCCATAGACCACTTCTTTTCTTATCCTAGTTGTGTTAATTTTGTTCTTTCTGTAGCTTTTTGATTTCATGTAATCAAAATGATCCATTTCACTTTTTATAATTGTCTATATTCCTTGACTAGCCGTTAAGAATTCTCCTTTACCCTTAGTTGTGAAAAAAGCTATGTGATATGCTTCTCTTAATTTTTTTTTGTGCTATGATCTTTAATCAGATCCTGTGTTTATTTTGAATTGATCATGAAATGTGGTGTAAGCTGTTGTTCTAAACGTGATTTCTGCCAAACTAGTTTCTAGTTTTCAAAGTGAGTCATAATTCCTAGGTAATTGGTATTTTTAGGTTTATTGAACACTGAGTTATTAAGCTCAGTTATTTGTTTGTCATCCTTGTCTAGTCTTTTACATTGATGTCCTTTTCTATTTTTTAACCAGTACCAGTTGCTTTTTTATTGCTTCTTTACATATAGTTTTAAGTCAAGAAGTGCTATTCCTTCTTCATTTATAACTTCTTTTCATTATTTCCCTTAGAATTCTAGGTCTTTTGTTCCTACAAATGAATTTTATAGTTCTGTTTAGATTTGTGAAGTATCCTATTGGTATTTTAGTATAGCACTAAATTTGTAAATTACGTTAGTATTGCGAATTTACGTTGGCTTTCTAATTTTCAAAGGCATATTCAGTTCATTAATCTTTCCTGTTAACCCATATTTAACACAATCTTTACAGTTTATAAGTTGTTTGTGTGATTGCTTGTCAGATTTAATTTTTAACATTTACTTCATAATATGGCCCATGAAGAGCTTATTCAAGGAGTAAAGATGTCACTTATTGGTCACTTGTGTTCACATTTTTAATATTATCTTTAACCAATAATATTTTTACAGGAATCTATTTTGAAGACATTTGTCTATTTTGTGAATTATAAAACTTTGATCATTTAATCTGTAAATTAATTTCAGTTGAGCATACTTAAACTGATATCAAACAAATGAATGAGAGTACTCTTCACAGGATACCTCGTATCCTGTATGTAACACATATCATTTGATATAGATACTGAATGAGGACACTAATAACAATATGCACATTAAATATTTATAAAGCTAAATAATAAATAGAAATTTTAATATTTCCTTCCTCAGAGGTGGCATGGTATAATAGATAAAAGAACTTGCTGCTGACCCAGGAAAACCTGGGTTCAAGTTATGCTCCTGACACATACTAGGTCTTGAACCCTAGATAGGTTACTTAACCTCTCGGTGGTCTTGGAAGCTTTCCAAGACAGTAAGTTGCAGAGAAGGACTTGTATTGATTGGTAAAGGGGGGGTTCTTTATGCCAGTGAAACCACAGATTCAGCCTCAACCTTATTACCACAGTGGATTGTCTTGAACGGCCCTTGGGGTGAGGACACCCCGTTTTGGAGACCACTGCACTAGAAAATTGTTTCTTAAGTTGGCAGGAAGACTTTAATGACTACTAGGTTTTGGTCATTCAATGACTTCTACATTCACCTTACTGTGTGCTCTTGTCCATCTTGGCCACAGAGATAACATGAGAGATTTCACCTTATGCTTTGGAAAAAAATCCAGGCAAGTTCTCAACAGTGTTTCCCTGAACTACTTTTACTTTGGTCCAAACATAATTTCATCCATGTAGATTGCTTCACAGGAGGAAATTTCTTCTACCAGTGCAGATTAGTAACTGCTATAACTTATAATTTTAGAAAGTTACTTAGGCCACTGACGTTAAGTAACTTGAAACCACATCATTCTGATTCTGAGGCAGCTGTTCTATCCACTGTGACTGTCACTGGTCTAATATAGTCAGAAAGGAAATTAAGTTAATCAAGATTTTTTTTTGATTAGTCCATGCTGACTCTTTGTTCTTGTAGGTTCCTTTTCTAGATTTGCAGGAACCCTACCTTTAATAAAACATCTTAGAATTTCAGCAGGAATTGAAGGGAAACTTATTGATTTGTGATTTGTAACTCTATTCTGTTTTTTGGGGAAAAATTATATTTGACCTGAGTTTATCTCTTTGCAGCAGGTTCTTTTGTTCCCTTGGTTATAACTAATTCTGTATGTATTTGTATATAAACATGTGAGACCCAGATTTCTGTTGCCAGGTCTTTTGGCATTCATTAAATCCATGGTCAGGATCCTGCCATTACAGTACTTGAATCTATTCCAGAAATAGAAACACAGTTCTATTTCTACCTTCATAACCAGATTTTTTTTTTTTTTTTTTTTCCTTTTACACCCCTGTCTTTTATTATCAAGGCAGATAAAAACACTATCTTTATTCCTAGAGACTTTGGAGTTTTGCTCAGGACTTCATAATTCCTAGTGATGCAATCTAGGAAATACCATTAGTCTCTTCATGAATCACCAGAATTAGGTAGTAATCATCAAGTTTTGACCAGTCTTATAAGTGCTTTTCAGATTCGTGCCCTGGAAGTCAATAGATAGTACTACGTTTATTATTACTGATAAATAGCCAACTTTATACCCTTCATTCTGTAACTAACATTTTATGTCTGTTCTTCTTTGGACCCTTAGTGGATGGTCTCCTGTCATGACCTATTAATCCCCATCATAGTTATTTGGGGTGTAAGGAACTGTACCAACATCACAGAGCATGACTCCCCATTATTTTGAAAGAGCCTTATATCTTGCTTGTTCCCTACTGTCAAAAGTCTTTTGTCCCTTTCTCTCCTATGTTCTCATTCTTCTACATTCTATCAAGGATACCACTCAGTTTTCCCAGCATTCTTTTCTTTATTTTCACCTTGAAGCCTTTCCATTTTGCTTTCATCATAGAGCATTGAATATTGACACCCTTTTTCCCCCCAGATTTTCTTCATGAATATAATGTATTTGGAAGACTTCAAACTGAAGAGAAACCACTTGAATTTAATGAATGTGGGAAAGTCTTCAGCAGTAAAAATGATCTAGGCCAAGATCAAAAAATACATACTGGAGGTACACCTTGTGGTTGTAACGACTGTGGGAAAGTCTTCGGTCAGAATCAACACCTTAAAATACATACAATATTTCTTACTGCCAAGAATCCTTTTGAATATAATGAATGTGGGGAAGCTTACCTAGCTGAACATCAAAGAATTCATACTGAAGATAAACCATATAAATGTAATTTATGTGTCAAAGTCTTAAGCAGTAAACACTACTTAGGGCAACATGAGAAAAATCATACTGGAGATATATTCTATAGATGTAATGAATTTGGAAAAGCCTTTAGGAAGAAAGGAAACCTATATGAACAGAAGAGAGCTCATTGTGGTGAGAAACCCTACTTAATTAATAAATATGGGAAAGCCTTCACACATCAGGGAAGCTTAAAAATCCATGAGGTAATTCGTAATGGAAAGAAGTCCTTTGAATGTAATGAATGTGGGAAAGGTTTCAAGCACCGATCAGTTCTTTTGAGACATCAGACAAGTCATACTGGAGAGAAACCATATATTTGTAATGAATGTGGGAAAGCCTTCAGCCAAAAGGGAAACCTTAAAATGCATAAGATAATTCATTCTAGAAATAAGCCTTTTGAATGTATGGAATGTGGGAAAGGCTTTAGGAATAGCTTTTCCCTTTTACAGCATGAGAGAGTTCATACAGGAGAGAAACCCTTTGATTGTAGTGAATGTGGAAAAGCTTTCAGTCAAAAGGCAAATCTTAATTCACATAAGAGAATTCATACTGGAGAAAAGCCCTATGTATGTAATGAATGTGGGAAAGCTTTCAGCCAAAAGGCCAGCCTTAATTCACATAAGAGAATTCATACTGGTGTGAAACCATATTCATGTAGTGAATGTGGAAAGACCTTTAGTCAAAAGGGAAATCTTAAGATGCATATGATAACTCATACTCAAAAGAAGCCCTTTGAATGTATTGAGTGCGGGAACAGCTTTAGAAATACCTTTCACCTTTTACAGCATGAGAGAATTCATATTGGACAGAAACCCTTTGAATGCAATGAGTGTGGGAAAGGCTTCAGACACATCTCAGTTCTTTTAAGGCATTATAGAAGTCACACCGGAGAGAAACCCTATGAGTGTAATGAATGTGGAAAAGCCTTTAGCCAAAAGGGAAACCTTAAAATGCATAAGATAATTCACACTAGAAAGAAGCCCTTTGAATGTTTGGAATGTGGGAAAGGCTTCAGAAATAGTTTTTCTCTTTCACAACATGAGAGAATTCATACTGGAGAGAAACCTTATGTGTGTAATGAATGTGGGAAGGCCTTCAGCCAAAAGACAAACCTTAATTCACATAAAAGGATTCATACTGGAGAAAAAGCATATTCATGTGATGAATGTGGGAAAGCTTTTGGAAATAGCTTTTATCTTTTACAACATGAGAGAATTCATACTGGAGAGAAGCCCTTTGAATGTATCGAATGTGGGAAAGGTTTCAGATACATCTCAATCCTTTTGAGACATCAGAGAACTCATACTGGAGAGAAACCTTATGAATGTAATGAATGTGGGAAAGCTTTCAGCCAAAAGGGAAACCTTAAAATGCATAAGATAATTCATTCTAAAAAGAAGCCCTTTGAATGTATGGAATGTGGAAAAGGCTTCAGGAATAGCTTTTCCCTTTTACAACATGAGAGAATTCATACTGGAGAGAAACCCTACGAATGTAACGAATGTGGAAAAACCTTCAGACAGAAAACAAACCTTAATTCACATAAGAGAATTCATACTGGAGAGAAACCTTATGTATGTAATGAATGTGGGAAAGCATTCAGCCAAAAGGCCAGCCTTAATTCACATAAGAGAATTCATACTGGAGTGAAACCATATTCATGTAATGAATGTGGGAAGGCCTTCAGCCAAAAGGCAAGCCTTAATTCGCATAAGAGAATGCATGCTGGAGTGAAACCATATTCATGTAGTGTTTGTGGCAAAGGCTTCAGTAATAATTTTTATCTTTTACAACATGAGAGAATTCATAGTGGAGAGAAACCCTTTGAATGTAATGAATGTGGGAAAGGCTTCAGACACATCTCAGTCCTTTTGAGACATCAGAGAAGCCATACAGGAGAGAAACCCTATGAATGTAACGAGTGTGGGAAAGCCTTCAGCCAAAAGGGAAACCTTAAAATGCATAAGATAATTCATTCTAGAAAAAAGCCATTTGAATGTATGGAATGTGGGAAAGGCTTCAGGAATAGCTTTTCCCTTTTACAACATGAGAGAATTCATACTGGAGAAAAACCATTTGAATGTAGTGAATGTGGAAAAGCTTTCAGCCAAAAGACAAACCTTAATTCACATAAGAGAGTTCATACTGGAGAAAAACCGTATAAATGTAACCATTGTGGGAAAGCCTTCAGCCAAAAAGGAAGCCTTAATAAGCATAACAAAACTTGTAGGGGAGAGAAACATTTTGAATAAAATGAAGGGGCACTAGACTGTAGTCAAAGCTTAAAACAATTGTAATTCAGTATATAGAGACCCTTTGAATTTAGTGAATTTGAGAAAACCTCACATAGTTCATTGAAGCATGGGATTCATAATAGGCATAAACCCTGTGATTCAGATGAATGGGAAAACTTTTCAGCTGGAAGGGAAAATAATATACACTAGAAAACTCATATTTGAGAAATCTTTCATGTAATGAGTGGGATTTTTAAAAATGTTACATAAACTTTTAAGAAACATGAGACTATTAATGCTGGACAAAACGTGAATGTACAGATTATGGAAAGGGTTTCATGAAAAAATAAAACATTGTACATCAGAAAATTCATACTGAAGGCCAGGACATAGTGTAATTAATGTGAGCAAACTTTCAAAGAGTAGAAAGAGAGGATCATAAGAGACTTCATACTGGAGAGAGAAACCCTTTTCACATAATGAAAGCCTTCAGGACAAGTCAGATCTTTTTTATATGTCATCAAATCATCATGGTGGATAATTTAAAAAAAAACCACTTTTAAGAAAGCCTTCATCAAGAGGAAACAACTCACTGAACGTCAGTTAATTCATACTGTTGAGAATCTCCATAAATGTAATGAATAAAGCATGCCTCATCCCAGATGTCATACTGGAATTTAACTGCAAAACAAATACATAATGGAGGGGAAAAGCTTCGGAAAATTCTAGTCAAAGAATCTCAGAGTTGGAAGGGGCTTTAGAAGCCATCACGTTCAACCTTCATTTGAAACAAAATTGCCCCTACAGTATTTCAGATTACTACCTGGAATTTCTTTTAAGATTTTTGAAGAGGGTGAACCTGCTGCCTCCCAAGAAAGCTGGCTCCATTTTTTTGATAGGTCTAATTATTAACAATTTGTTTTAAAAAAATCTGCATTTACCCCCCTTCTGCACATTTTTTTTGGCAACTTCTCCCTATTCCTCCTATTTTCACCTGCAGCCAAGGAAAACAAACTTAATCTCCACTGACAACACAACAGATATTTGAAGGTAGTTATTATGTCACTCATCCACCACCACCACTGGAGTTTTCTCTTCAAGTGAAACATATTTAGTTCTTTCCACTCATCCTTATGAAGTGGTCATGAAGCAAAGGCCCTTCACCTCCCTGGTTGCCCTTTGCTGCACATTTCTCAGAGAATACTAAAATGTGGTGCCCAGAATGTACAAATGAAAAAATATTTACTACGTGTCAAATATTATGCCAAGTGCTGGAGATATAAATGCAAAAATGAGACAGCCACTGCCTTTAAGGAGCTTACATTCTAATTGGCTAAAACCTTGCAGCTTAGGGGAATGTTTACCCAGGGAAATTGTTTTATTTGAGAAATAACAGGGAGGGTGAATGGAGCCATAAAGAAATTGATTGACATGTTTTGTTTTGTTTTTTAGTAGCAATAACAGCATTAATTTAATTTTCACCATGGTTCTTGAGCTGGAAAACTAGGCAGTGGGGAATATGGGGGCAAGGGTATGCATATGGTGGCAGTAAAGGTGGCAAGATTACTATTGTAGAATATGAAATATGACTAAGGCCAGCTATGTATAGGGAGCCGTGTGATACTCTCACAAGTCAGATCAGCTTAGGTTTCAGAGTGAGAAATCCAGAGATGAAAGATGTATTTTAGATCAAATGACTATTTTAGATTAGGAGTTCTTAGCTTTTTTTTGTTACACAGACCCCATTGGCAATTTGGTGAAACCTATGGACCTCTTCTCAGAAAATGCTTTTAAATGCATAAGATAAAATACTTAGGATTATGAAGAAAACTTGTGTTGAAATACAGTTATCAAAATGTTTTTTTCCATCCATGTTTGTGGTCCCTAAGTTAAGAATTTGTACCCTATATTTTCTCTGGACAGAGTTAACAATATGGTAGCATCTCCTTCATTTTGATGATTATACTTCTTATGTAGCCTAAGATTGAATTAGCTTTTTGGGCTATTCTTTCATGACACTTACTTTTTCTGAGCCTATATTCCACCCAGATCTCCAGATATGTTTCAGATCAACAGTATTCTAGCTCTTCTGTTTCTTCTTTGTACTCAGGTGTAAGATTTTACTTATATGTTACTATGAAATTTCATCTTACTTAATTTGGACTAAAATTCTAGCATGTTAAGTTTTTTGGAATCCTGACTAGGTAGTCCAGAGTGTTATCATTCCCAGCTTTTGTCATGATTTTTTATAACCTTGTTTTCTAAGCCATTACAAAACTCATAGCCCAGTATTCAGCACAGATCCCTGGGCCACTTTATTGGATATCTCTATCAAATTAGCTTTAAAAAGTTATCATCAAATGAAATCATTATTTATTCGGTTCTGAAGAGGTTATGTGAGATTTTGTTCCCAGCTACAGAAATGTCTATTTTCTTAAGAGAGAAACTTCCTGTTACAGTACAATGTGACCCACATTGGAGGTTCTGTACTTAACAGCTCGCAAATTTAAGCTAGTGATATTTAAGCTGTCTTTTGGTACTCTTATCTCCTGATCTTTTAGTTGGAGATCATCTAGGGAAACAAACACCTGCCATTGGTTCATAACACCAATTAATTTTTGCATGAGCTACTGAAAAGTAGCAGGGTGTTTTGGGTAGACTTTATTCATTTGTTAGCCAGTGCCTTATTTTGACTGCTGTGACCCACCTTACAGTTTTGAGGCACTATTGATGTATGAAAATTTACCTTTAATAATGAGGCCAATGGATGGATCAAGCCAGCATCATTATTTTTGTTATGGTTATTATTATTGTTATTAGTCTCATTTATTTTCTTATTACCACTTTTTGACTGTATACTTAAATTGCAAAGTGCAAACCCTGTTTTGGGAGACTTTTCCTAAATAGAAGAAGCTTTTGCATTAGGTAAGATTTATTTTAGTGATTTTTACTTACATGTTAAGAATTGATCATCTTCATTTTGAAAGATTTAAGAACTCTGATCAATGCAATGAGCAACCACAACTCCAGAGGACTGATAAAGGAGCGTGCTACCTACTTTTTGAAAGGAGGAATGGATGCAAGGTGCATAGTGAGACGTGCATACATTTTTGGACATGACAGATGTGTGGATATGCTTTACTTGACTATGCTTATTTGTTCCAAGGATTATGTTACTCTTTCTTGTATTGGGGGAGAGGGATCTTGCAAAGAAAAGAAAGAAGAGAGTCGTTGCAATATTTTTTTTCCTCAGAAGAGAAATAAAGGATATGCAGAAGAAAATAGGCAAGCAGAATAGCTTTGAAAGTAACATGATGAATTTACTGTACACTTTTTTAAAAAGCAAGCTGTATATAATAGACATTTACATTTTCACATATCCTATTTTTCTGTTTTACTTTGCATATAGAAATAACCTATTTCATTTGGGATCCATTAACTTTAGAATAAAAATTAAAAAGAATGTAAGCTGCTTGAGGGCCAGCATATTTCATTTTGGTTGTATCCCTAGCCCTTCACAGAGCAAGTGCTTATTAAATTCTTGTTTTTTAAAGCTACTAGTTTTCTCTGAAACATAGTAATTTCATACAGTTGCATGGTAAAAGGTCAGTAGGTTTTTTTCCCCTGTATAACTTCTGTAAAAGGCTTTGCACCTGTGCTCTTAAGAGTAGCATTGTCAAGGTCATTTTCAGACTTTCATTTGGATTCAAAATGAGGAGTTTGCTCATCCTGAGGTAACTGCCACCTTCCAGTGTCATCTGCTTTATATTATCTTTAAGTTAATTATGAATACCAGCAAGTCAGAGGTGTCCCTTCCCTGTCCCCAGTGAGCATCTCTGTTGGAGTCTACTGGAGGTCTTCAATATGTACTAAGGACAAGTTGCTTCAGAAACTCCTTAAGTTGAGAAAAGAATGTCCTTCAACTCAAACATGTGAACCCTGGCTAGTTCATCTTCTTAAATGGTTAAGAGCAGCAGAATTTACTGGTACAAAATGACATTTTTCAACCTCCTGGCCAAATAAGAATACTAGTATTTGTATCAGCACGGAGAAGGCTGGTTGAGGAACACGCTCTACTGGACCCGACCATGAACGGTTTCTATCTTTTCAATTGATGTCTACCTTCTGTCACTGAAGTCCTGAATGAGACTTGGTAGGTAGAATCCCAGATGTAGTTATTTTGACTGAAAGTCCGTTTCTTATTCTGCTGGATTTTGTTAATGTACAGAAAAGCTGACGATGTTTGTGATTTTAAGTACCTTTTGACTGAAGTTACTGTTTCAATTTTATATTGAATTTCTAATCTTTATTATCATCTACAAATAGTTATGCTTGGTTTCCTCTTTGTATGTGCTTTGCCTAATTTCTTTTTCTTATCTTTTTGCTGTAGCTAGCATTTCTGGAACTATGTAAAAATGGTGCTAACAGTTTGCCTCTGATTGGTCATAGAATCTCCTTGTGTTTCCCTGTCACAGATGATGTTAGCTCTAAGTTTTATACTCAATAAGGAAAGATTCACTTATTATTAGGCTTTTTCAGTGTTCTAATGTGACAGTGTTGCATTTTAATCAAAAGCTTTTTTCTGTATTGATATAATCTTGATTTTTTTTGTTATAAATGTGGCGAATGCAGTGACCAATCATGACTTCAGAAGACAGATGATGAAATAAGCTGTGTTAGGAGGCTGCTGGAAGCTGTCCTAAACACAGGTAATAACAGAGTGGCATAAATGACTGACCTCATACGAGGAATGGTTATAAAATGGATTTGTTTTATAAGGATAAAATTTCAAGCACAGGTCAAAGATATGTTGTGATCTGATTCTGGTGAGTTCTGTGAAATGAACTGTGGTTGGGGGCCTCGAGTCTCCCATGCCGAGTGTGTCCAAAGGGCTACCAGATAACTTTGTCATGAGTACAATGCCTCCTTTTGCTTCCTTTGTGGCAGAGAACTGTCCAGTAGTTCTCCTACTCCCCAGGTAACTGGAATTTTGAGTTGTATCACAGCCTAATGATTTCCCCTATTGTTATATCATCTGTGCCCCGGGACTTTGTCCCCTGCCTCGGGTTAGGTGGCAGGACTGACCATTGCCTAGCATGTGTTCTTCTCTCCTCACCTCTTACCAGAAAGCTACTGGATTAGAAATGTGGAATGAGACATTTTCAGACATGGCCAATGAGTTGATCTGTTTTGTTTGGCTATATTTGTTTGTTACACAGAAAGGGTGCCTAGGGTGCCTTAGTGGGTAGTGATGGAGATACAGAATTAAAAGGAAAGAAAAGAATGTCCATAAAGCATCTGAAAATATAAGAAAGGAAACTCGTTCCGAAAATAACACATAGCAATTTTATAACTACCTGGTTAAATTTAAAACACTTTCCTAAACAAACAAGACTGTAGCTTCATATACAATCCTCTTTTTTCATTTTTGCATATTGAATATTTGGTTATATATACATATATGTGTATATACAATCTCTTGCCTGAGTTCCATTCCCATATGGCAGTTGCCTAATGGAAATTTTTTTCTTTTTCTTCCTTGGCAATATACTTTAATACTCTCCTTTCTTCTAATTCCGTCCCCTTCCAAAACTCTCCCCACCCCACCCCCAATTGAAAAGAAAAATAAACAAACCTTTTGTAAGATATGCAGGCTCCCTCATTGGCCATTTCTAAAAATGTATGTCTGATTCTATAACTTGAATGCATTACCTCTCTAATAGAGGTGGCTGTGATGGCTTTGTCGTTGTTCTTCTGGAATTGTGGTTTGTCATTGCATTAATCAAAAGTTTTTAAGTCTTTCAAAATTGTCTTTACAATGTTGTGGTTGTATAAATTGTTCTCCTCATTCTGTTTATTCTTATCAATTTGTACTTCCCTGATTTCTCTAAAACTATCCCTTTAATAATTTCTTTACAGTGCAATAATCCATTACATTCATATGTTGTAGCTTGTTCACCTGTTCTTCAGTTGATGGGCACGCCTTTAAATTTCCAGTTCTTTGCCACTACAGAAAGAGCTACTATAAATATTTTTGTACATATGGGACTTTTTTCTCTTTTGATCTCTTTAGGGTATTGGCTTAGTAGTGGTAGGAATGAGTCAAAAGGGCATGCATAATTTTTTTAAAAAGGTTTTTGTTTTTCTCAATGGAATGGGGGGGTCCCTAGGGACAGAGTTTCTCCCCTCCCACCACAAAAAGAGGGTCATTGAAACATGTTTAAAATGCACAAAAGAAAACAGAAGGAAAGCTGGAAGAATCACAAGTAGAATAATTCTGAAAATAACATGTTGAATTTATTATACATTTAAAATGAAAAGAAACCTGTGTGTAGTAAAGATTCAGTTTTATGTACAACCCTCTCTGTTCTGTGTTCACTGAAGTGCTCATTTTAGTTGATTTAGCTTGTTAAGTTCAGAATAAAAATAAATGCAGGAAAAATATGATATGCAGAGTTTAATAACCTCTTGGGAATAGTTCCAAATTGCTTTCTATGGCTGGACAAATTCAGAACACTAACAAAGAATTAGTAGGCCTGTTCTCCTATCATTACTCCAACAAATGTCATTTTTTTGGTCATCTTTGCCAGTCTGACGGATATAAGGTATAACCAGAGTTGTTTGAAATTGCATTTCTCTATTAGTAATTTGAAGTATTTTTTTCATGTGTCTATTGATAGGTTAGGTTTCTTTCTTTGAAAATTGCCTGTTCATATCCTTTGACCATGTATCTGTTGGGAAATGGTTCTTGTTCTTATTAAGTATGAAGCAGTTCCTTATATATCTTGGATATGTGATCTTTATTAGGGAAACTTCAAATATTTTCTCCATTGTTTGCCTTCTAATTTTAACTGCATTAGTTTCATTTATATAAAAACTAATTTTTTAGTATCAGAACTGTCTATTTTATCTTTATGATCCTCTCCATTGCTAGTTTAGTTTAGTCATGAATTCTTCCCCTACCCATGGCTCTAAAAAATATTTTGTCATCGATCCTCGAATTTGTTTATGATGTGACCTTTTATATCTAAGCCATATATCCATTTAGAATTAAAGATATTGGTGTATGCCTGATTTTTACCAGATTGTTTCCTGGTAGTTTTTGTCGATGAGCCTTTCCTCCTGGAGTTGGGGTCTTTAGGTTTATCAAACGTTTTTGTATGTTATGTACTGAATCTTTTCCATTAATTGACTTATTTTTTTGATCAAATTGAGGATTTGAAGGAGTGAGCATAGGAAAAGGAAAATCAGTTACCATCTTTTGCAGATGATATGATGGTCTATCTAGAGAACTCAAAAGAGTCAACAAAAAATAATTGAAAAAATTAGCTTAAGTGAAGTTTCAGGATTTGAAATCACATAAATCATCAGCATTTCTGTATATTGCCAACAAAGTCCATCAGGCCTGGATAAAAAAATTGCATTCAAAATGACTAGGATGTATAAAATATTTGGGAGTCCATGTGCCAAGACACATAGGAATATCATGAATACAACTACAGAACATTTGACAGAACGAGACAGATCTAAATAATTGGAGAAATTTTAATTCCTCATGGGTAGGATATGCCAATAATAAAGACAGTACTGCCCAAATTATTGCTTATTCAGTGCCATACCAGTCAAACTACCAGAGGATTCAGAGTTAGAAAAAATGACAGAGTTCATCAGGAAGAGCGAAAGATCAAGACTGAAGAGAAATAATGGAAAAAAAGAAAAAGATGCAAAGGAAGTGGTCTAGTAGTACTAGACTTTAAACTATGTTAAAAGCAGTAATCATCAAAATGACTTGGCACAGATCTGAAGTTTCCAAATGGATGTCCTGGAGGCATTTAAAACTCAGCATGTCCAAGAACAAGCTCAGCTTTCCCCTCTTCCCAACTTTCCTGTGTCTGTCTAGGGCACCACCCTCATTGCAGTCTGCCAGGTCCACAACTGTGGTGTTATCATTGGCTCTTCACTCTCCCTTATACCACATAGGCATTTTTCAGCCTTTACAGTATCTCACTCACATCCAACCTTTTCTGGATTCACTCAACTACTACCTTAGGTTAGGCCCTCATCGCCTTGCCTATATTATTACAACAGCCTCCTAATTGATCTCCCTTCCTCAGGTTATTCTCTCTGGTCCATTTACACATTGCTGCAAAAGTAATTTTCTTTAAGAGCAGATCTGACCATATGACTCTTCTCAGTCACCTCCAGTGGCTTCCTGTTGCCTCTAGGATCAGATATAAACTCTTCTGTTTGCCTTTAAAGCCCCACACAATCTATCCCCCTACCCCCATCTTTCAGATGTATTGGCATTACTCTAATCCAGCCAAACCGTCCTCTGTTTCTCCTACGTGGCACTCCATCTCATCTCCCTAGTTTTTGCTCTGGTCAGCCCATGTGCCTGGAATGCACTCCCTCCTCTCTGCTGCAGAGTCCTCTTCCTTTAAAGATACCGCTGAAGCACCATCTTCTGCATGAAGCCTTTCCTGCCCCCCCAACTGCTAATCCCCTCCTTTCTCTACTACCTTATATTTAACTGCTCTGTATATATTTGTATTTATTCAGT